ATAGGTTCAAACATCGTCTCTAGGCAGATGATTCCTCCCAACTCCCATTCTCTCTCCTGAATTCTAATGCCATATCAACTCTCTACTGATTATTTCCTCATTGATATCTGACAACTAAAATTCAACCTATTCCAAAAAAAATTTATTATAGTTTCCTCTCAACCCACCCTATTTCCAAACTACCCTCTTTCTGTTGAGGGGCATCATTACAGTCCCAGTCACCTGAGTTTGTAAACTTGAGAGACATCCTTGATTTTTCAACTCAACAAGAATTTATGATATGCCAACTCTGTGTGTGTATGTGTGTGTGTGTGTTCGCCCACCCATGCGCATGCTACAAAGTTAAAAACAAAAATCAGTTCTGCCCTGAAGGAGTTTACTTTCTACTGAGAGATATAAAATGTACATAGATAAGAAAATACAAGATCATTTGAGGAGAGAAAACAGATGTATCTAAAGGAGCCTTGAAGGAAGCTGAGAATTCTAAAAGACACCGACAGGTAACGAATTTCAGAAATGCTGCTATGGATTGTGCAAAAGCATGGCCTTTTCTCTTTCCCATACCTCTTCCCTCCTCCATCTAAAAAACTGCCTTGGTAATTTGGCATCTCTTTTGACCTATTTCCATAGAAGGTATTTATTACCTAGAGTTTCAAGGGGGTACCCTACAGATAACCACTCCTAATAGCATAATTCATGAGCCCTCACTAGGGTATAAATTTTAACTTGGAGTCTTTGGGGGGCATTACTTGTCATAACAGTACATGCAGGTAGCTCTTAGTATAGGCATTTATTAAGATGGTATAATAAAAGCAGTAGCTGCAAAACATTCTTCATATAATCTTTTTTTAATATAAATTTATTATTTTTAGTTTTCAACATTCCCTTCCACAAGTTTTTGAGTTCCAAATTTTCACCCCATCTCCCCCCTCCCCCCACCCCAAGATGTCATGCATTCTGAATATCCCTTCCCCTACTCTGTCCTCTCTTCTATTTCTCTCCCCTTCTCTTATCCCCTTCCCCTTCTATTTTCCTGTAGGGCAGGATAGACCTCTGTACCCCATTTCCTATATTTATTTCCCAGTAGCATGTGAAAACATTTTTTTAAACATATGTTTTTAAAACTTTAGCTTTCAAATTTTCTCTCTTCCTCCCTCCCCACCCACCCTCATTGAAAAGGCAAGCAAATTCTTCATATAATCTTGGGGTACACTATCTCAAAAATACAATATCCATGGGATGCATGAGAACGGCCACAGAGCATAATGGTAGCAAGGCACACAGGGACACATATGGCCAAGGCAACTTGCAACTCTGGCAATGCAGGACCTACAAGTCCTTTTTTCCCTTGAAACATTCCTACAGGGCTCCCTATAGAGCTTAGCATCTCTGCTGGGCAGTTGCTTAGCTGGGTTTCCAGGGTCTTTATTGCAGCTGATTTCCAGGGCTAGGTATTTCTGAATTCCATAGGCAGGTCTCTTTGCTGCCAGAGGAGTAATTGCCTCTCTACACATATCTATTGGAAGTGTGTTTATTTGCTCCCTCAGCTGTGCATGCAATTCTCTCTCAAAATGCCAAATGGAGTCTCTCCTCCTGGTCAAGTGGCTCCTCTTCAAAGTGAGATGGCTGACACAGGGATAGGAGGAAGGAAGAGAAATCTCCTTTCCCTTAAGAAGTACTTCTTTCCAGGGGTTGAGTTCTTCCACCACTATCGGCTCAAACTGATGAACTAGTTACTTTTAAGGGTCCTTGAAGAATGGCCAAATTTTCAACCCAGCCAATTCCAAGCTGCTTTTTTTTTTTTTAGGCAATTGGGGTTAAGTGACTTGCCCAGGGTCACACAGCTAGTAAGTGTCAAGTGTTTGGTCTGAGGCCAGATTTGAACTCAGGTACTCCTGACTTCAGGGCCGGTGCTCTATCGACTGCGCCACCTAGCCGCCTCCCAAGCTGCTTTTTAAAAAGGATCACAGAGTGATCCCTTATTGACACATTAATGCATAGGTTCTTAACTTTTTTCCCTTGTTGATCTCTTTGTCAGTCTGGTGAAATCTATGGACACTATTTCAAAAATGTTTTTAAATGCATAAAACAAAATATACAGATTAAAAAGAAAAGCAAATATAATGAATTTGTCAAAATATTTCTTAAAATTCATAGCCTAGATTAAGAATCTTTGCATTAACACCTTATCACCTGTTCTTACATCCTTTACATCAACCTCCATATACCTCTCTTCTCTGTTTCCACCCCTTGTCCCCCCAACAAGACAACCAGAGTAAATTCTTGTTTGTTTGGTTTTTTAAATTTGATTAGGCAATGGGGTTAAGTGACTAGTCTAGGGTCACAAAGCTAGTAAGGGTTATGTGTCTGAGGCTGGATTTGAACTCAGGTCCTCCTGAATCCAGGGCCAGTGCTCTTATCCACTGTACCACCTAGCTGCCCCAGCTAGGGTAAATTCTTTAAAAAAACCTTCACTGGATCCTTTAACACCCTAATTCAAGCCATAACTTCTCCCTCAACTGACCTCCCTGCTTCACCTTTCATCTCTGTAATCCATCCTCTACATAGCTACCTTAAGCACAGTTCTAATTATATGGTTTATTACTTATTGCCTCTAGGATAAAACACAAATTTCTCAGGCTGCCATTTAAAACCCTCTACAATCAGATTCCAACTGACTTTTACAGAATTTTTTCATATTATTCTCCTTCATGCACTTGACATTTCAGCATGAGTCAATTGATTTCATTTCAATTTATTAGGCATCTATTCCAACAAGACACCAAATACCAGGCATTCAAAGACAAAAACAAAACAGTCCCTTCATTTAGGTTCTTATGTACTCCTTGAAAGGGGATAGTGGTGGCAAAACACAAGATATACAAAAATAAATACAGCATAATGTAAATTGAGAGAGAGAATACTAAAAATTTGGGGCATCAGGAAAAGCTTTGTGGAGGATGTGGTACCTGAGCTGAGCCTCAGAGTAAGCTAAATTTTTTAATGAGTATTCCAAGATTAGGGAACAGCTCATGTGAACATGCAGATGTCAGAAATTAGCTGTTGAAATCAAAGAATAGCTAGTACTCCATTTTGCTGGATGTTGGTCCATAGAGTTAATGGTGTGAAGGGTCAAGGATGAGTCTTGAGTTTGTGCATTTAGATGCAGTAGATGGCATTACCCTCAACAGATTACATTCAATAAACATCAAGCACCTACCATGTGCAAAGCACTGTGCTAGGCTTCTACCAAAAATTAAAGTCCCTTATTCTCCTGTGGATGAGGGCCTGCATGGTTACTCACTCAAATGGCCACTATCTTAATTGAGACCTGGATCACCCAGTTCATACTATTCCAACAATATCTTAGTTGGTTTTGGTATTTCATCTTTTACCTCTCTACTATGGCCTCCTTAGTTTCCCAAGCACAGACCTGACCATGCCACTCTCTGCTCATAAAGGTCTAGCATCTCCTGCTTTCAAGATCAAATATAAACTCCTTTGATTGGCTTTCAAAGTACTTCAGGATCTAGCACTAGCCTACCATTCCAGGTATTAGACATTATTCCCTTTCACAAATTCTGGACTTCTGCCAAACTGCCCTTTTCCCTGTATCTTATATAAGATACTACATTTCTTGTTACTGTGCCTTTCTTTGGGGCCTCTGCCTTATCGAATACCTAGCTTCCACAAAGGCTCAGCTTGTTTTACTACGTAAGACTTTTCTTAAGCTTCCCTGGATGCCAGTGTCTCTTTCTCAATTCCTTCCTCCTCCAATTGCTTTGCCTTTACTTGGTATGTACTTTACATTTTTTATCTATGTGTACATCTTGTTTCCTATGATGGGATGTAAGCTAGGGAACAGTTTCATTTAAGTCTTTTCATTCCCAGCAGCTGGCACATAGCAGGTACCAACAGATGCCTGAATTGACTCACATATAAATACACAGAGAAGTAAATAATTCCAACAGCGGTTCTTTGAAGAAAAGGAAGAATTCTATGAGGTGAGATGTGTATTTCACATACAGGTGATAGACTGCCTGTGCAAAGGCACCAAGAATCTCATGTTTGGGGAACAGCTTGCAATCTACCATGAGGTTTGCTTGGCAAAGATATTGGAGTAGTTTCCCATTTCCTTTTCCAGGTTTACACAGGCAGGGGTTAAGTGACTTGCCCAGGGTCATACTGCTTGTGTCTGAAGTCGCTTGACTCCAGGTCCAGTGCTCTATCAGCTATACCACCTAGCTGCCCCCAGCACCAATATGGCGGCAACCGTTTCCCGTACTGAGGATTCAAATGCAAAGAATTATATAATCCCTATTTACAATTAAGCTATTAAAACTGGAACAAGACTTTTGGGCCATCGTGTGTGCGTGTATGTGTGTGTGTGCACAATACATACAAATGCACATATACACATATGCTCTTTTTTTGGGGAGGGGCTGGGCAATGGGGTTAAGTGACTTGCCCAGGGTCACACAGCAAGCGTTATGTGTCTGAGGTCGCATTTGAACTGCGGTCCTCCTGAATCCAGGGCCGGTGCTCTATCCACTGCGTCACCTAGCTGCCGCTACATATTTCTACAGAGCACAGAGACAAGGTGAAGCACATAAGGGCATGTGGAGGAGGGGCTGAGGCAGCCGCAGGGAGGATGAGGAGCAGCTCAGATTTAGAAAAGGAACAAGCAGCCGCAGAGGGAGGGTAAAGGCCAGGGATGCACACGAGGAAGATCACGAGCCAGGAAACTGGGGAGTGAAGCTTTAAAAGTGAAGCCGGCACACGAAGAGCAGAGAGGGCGGTTGTAAGAGCGACTGGCGATCCCTGTAGTGCGGGACCCCGGAGCGTGAGGACTGCGTTCATCACAGGAGGTAAGGGGACCGAGCGAAGGTAAAAACAAGGCCTCGATACTTGCTCCACCCTTCTCCCCACCTGGGCGGAGCAGGAAATGCGGCCTCCACCGGAAGTAGTCTTCCGCAGGCGAGCATCGAAAAATGGTGTCCTCTACGTAGACGACGCTGAGGGGGCGGGTAGTAAGGGAACCCGTCCGGTGCAGTTCAGAATCAGCTCCCCGGATCCCTAAACCTAAGTGGAAGAGTTCCGCACTCGGTTCGTAGGACATCACGTGGGGCCAGGGCAACTTCGTGGCAGGTGGAACCAGGGCGCCGACACATACTGCGGGTCCAGGTGAGGGGAGCTCCTGGGGCGCGGAGGTCAAGGGCTCAGGCAGCCCTTGTCGGCGCGGATTCCCAAGGAGCAATCTAAGCCCCAACTCGGTTCCTCCCCGGTCTGTCCCCGCATTAGAACCCGGGTTGTGATCCCGGGCGGGGGCTGGGACTCGGGGATGCCCTTAAACCTGGGGCCTTGGGGTTCGCCTTGGGGTCGTAGGTTCGTGGGTCTGGAGCTGGATGGGATCTGGGGGGCCAGCTGACTCAGCACCGTCATTTTACAGATGGAGAAACTGAGGCATGCTAAGGCGAAGTGAGCGGCCCAAGGTCATATGGGCTGCTACCAGCGTCCACTTCCAGGGATCCTTCTTCCTTTTTTTTTTTTGCTAGTCAGGATTCCAGCATACACTTGGTGGTTCCTTCTCTCTCTCTCTCTCTCTGTCTCTCTCTCTCTTCTTCGTTTTATTTATGAAATTGACAAACATACATTTCTTTATACGGAGCACACAAAAAGACTTGTATATCACACTATCGAAATTTGTTTTAAAAAGCTAGTATTTATGCAGCTCTTTAAGATGTTTTACAGATATTTTATCGTCACAGCAATCCTGGGAAGTAGGTGCTATTATAGTCCCCATTTTACAATATGAAGAAACTGAGGAACACAGAGGTTAAGTTACTTGGCCCAGGATCACACTAGTAAGTGTCTGAGGCCGCATTTGAACTCAGGCCTTTCTGGCTCCACTTCCAATGCTTTCCCTGTTGGATCACTTAGCTATCTTAAATGTGATTTTTTAAAAAGTGTATATTGAATTTTACTCAAAAGGTCTGTCACTGCCTTAGTTGCCTGTGGTTCATTCTGAACTTGCTTCTGCGTCTTCTCTGTGGTTTTAATGTCTGATACCCCCCCTTTTTTTTTTATTACTATTACTACCCATTTTTCCCCCTACTTCACTCTATGAAAGTAAAATAAGTATAGTCAAGCAAAAAGGAACCATAAATTGGCCGTCTGAAAATGTTTGTCTCATTCTGCACCTCTAGTCTTTTCTCTTCCCAGAGGTTGGATGAATGTGTCATCCCAAGTCTTTTGGAGTCATCGTATTGATCATAGTTTTTAACTCATTCACACTTGTTTTGCTTTACAATGTCATTGGACAAATTGGTGCTGCTGTCTTCATTTTGCATCATTTTATACAATTTTTATACAATTTATAATTGTATAAATATATTGTATATACAATATATAAATATATCAATTGTATAAATATATAATATATAAATATGTATTATTTTATACAGTTCTTCCCAGCTTTCTCTGAATCAGTTCCTTTTATCACTGTTAATAGTATAATAAAATTCCATTACCTTATACCAAACTTTGTTCAGCCATTCCCCATTTGATGAGCACCCAGTTTGTTTACAGTTCTGTACAACAACAAAAAAGTGCTGCTACAAATATCTTGTGCACATGGGTCCTTTCCCTCTTTCTTTGATGTCTTTGGAGTATATATATATGCCTAATAGTGGAATTACTGAGACAAAAGGGTGCATACTTACTCTTGGTTTCCAAACTAAAACTAGACAATAGCAACCTTTCCTTTTGCTCTGAGGGAAAGAGGTATAGATTGGGAGGTCCCAAACTGCTATCAACTAGCTTTGTGATTTGTGGCAAGTCACTGACTCTTTGGGCCTCAGTTTCCACATCTGTAAAATGAGTGGTTTGAACTTGAACTCTGACCTCTGAATGTTATGAGAATTGATAGAGGTATATAGAATAGAATCTATAGCACAGGCTTTTCTTCTATCAATAGATTTGGTAGATCTGTAATTTCATCTGTTACCCCTCCCCGTGCCTCTCCCCCCATTCTTCCATCATGCAGATAGCAAAGCTTAAGGGCTGAAAAATTCATCGCTTGTTGGCTAGCCTCCTGGGAAACTCTACACTTGGCTACACTGGTGCCAAGGGGAAGATAGATAATTAACACCTGTACTCAAAGGTATTCCAGCTTGGTTGGTCATGTCGAAGCTTGCTCTTCCCAGGTGTAGCACCCAGGGTCACCTCTGCATCTTGAGACATCGTCATAGGATTTGAATGGAGCGCTACAAGCTCACGTGTTGTTATGTACCATCTTGTATTGTCTTCTGGTTCAGTGTGTACTACTTTTGCCATCTACAGATGAGTATAATTTAAGGTAGGGAGTGAAGGGGGAAAAGGATAGGGAAATTTCTTTTTAAAAGAAATCAGGGCAGGGATGCTCTATTGCAACTTTTATATTCTTTCCTGTGGTTATTATAGTTCCAGTTAAGCAGTAAGTGTTTAATAAACACATACAGAATTAAATAGGAAAGGAGTAGGATCCATGGGATTGGAAGAAATGTTATTTTCTTTTTAAAAATTGATATTAAAGCTAGCAGATTTAGGGAGCTGGGTTTGTAATCAAAAAGCTTTGAGTTGATATGATAGATTTAAATGGGTTTTACTCTGTAATCTACTGGGGAAGGATGATGATACAAACAGGACACTTACAGCCTCATTCCCCTCCTCCCCCCTCTAGGATTATGGCTAACAGCGAGCGTACTTTTATTGCCATCAAGCCAGATGGGGTCCAGAGGGGTTTGGTTGGAGAGATTGTTAAACGCTTTGAACAGAAAGGATTCCGTCTTGTTGGCTTAAAATTCATGCAAGTAAGTAGGTTATTTCACCTCTTGCACAAATGTACTACCTCATTTGGCATGATGGGATGGAACACTTTCCCCTGGTACAGGAGTGGGAATGTTTGAGGGAATAAGGTATGGGAGTGGGGTCAGCCGAGGTGATGCGGTTTATTTTTCACTTTTCGTGATCTTTTGGGGGAAAAGGAGCATCAGTTTCCATGAGGTAGTACTAGAAAGTGTTCAGTGGCCTGCTGTTACATCATGGGGCTGCATATGTCTGGGTGCCTTTGTCCCAGTTTATATCTGAATCTTTTCACTTTTGAAAGAAGCCTCCACCCTACATGGTAGAGGGCTTCTTAATAAACCTCTCATCCTTCTAATCCTATGTGCCCTGGGGCATGTTTGAGTTTGTAGTTTTGAGCTTTCCACAACAGATCATTTTAGAAAACCAATTTCTTGTCTAAGGCAGGTTGCATTCCAGCCAGGAGATCTTTCAGTCTATACCCATTGTGTGCAGACTCTTGAATTATAGCCATGGTGGGAGATACAAAGAGGACATGGGCTCTGCCTTTGGGGAGCATGTGCTCTAAAGAAAGAAAAAGAACACTCACCCCTGAAAGTGAGCTTTTTCAGTTCCAATATCTCCTCTACTCACTCTTTGGTGCAGATAAGTTGAGAAATCATCGTACCTCAAAAACATGCCAGTAATGACCCACCCATCCCAAAAACATGGAAGGAGAGACAAGGAGCTTGGAGAATCCACAATGCAGGTTGGCAGTTTGAATAATTAGGAATTGGCCATAAAAATCAGCCTTAGATTCGCTCCAGAAAATTATAAAATCTGTCTGGCTTTGTTTCTGGACTGTCCCTCTCTGCTTTTGCCAAATGATCAGGGAATACAAATTAATTTTAATATTTGTTTCTTACTGTAAAATAAGGGTCTTAGTCCTCTTCCATCTCTAATAACTCTCAGGGTTTTTCTATGATTAACCCAAGTCCAGCAGTATTAACTAGGGAGGAAAAAAGAAGAAAAAGTACTACACGATAATTCAATTCAATAAACATTTATTAAGCACATACTATGTGTCAGGCACTGTGCTTAATGCTAAATTATGAAACTAAAAAGGAATGAATAACCATTCCCTTCCATTAGCACCTATGTTTGGGACTTGTTCTCATCTCTGATTGAATCAGGCATCTAAAATGTATACCATGATTTTAAGGGTGGGAATAGATTTAACACTCTTTAGATCACTTCAGGGCCTTGGTTCTCATCCTCAATTCTTTGATTCAGGCTTCTGAAGACCTTCTCAGGGAGCACTACGTTGATTTGAAGGATCGCCCCTTCTATGCAGGCTTGGTAAAGTACATGCATTCTGGGCCTGTGGTAGCCATGGTGAGTATTTGTAGGGACCGTTTGTGTAAGTTGGGGGTGTTGGGGATAGAGTAGAATGAATGATGGTAAATTCCCACTCCTGGGATTACTTGGTGTAGTGGCCAGAGTGCTAGATTTGGAGTCAGGGAGACTTGGGTTTGATCCCTCCCTTGACACCTGACACGTCTCTGAGTGTCAGGTTCCTAACTCTCTTCAGGTCATCTGTGTGACTTTACCCATCTTTGTCTTAGTTTTCTCATATGTAAAATAAGGGCATTGGACGAGGTGACCAGTAAGGTCCCTTCTAGCTCTAAATCCATAGATTTAGGTCCCACTGTCATAGGATTGTAATGTATGGAAAATGCATTGCAAAGCTGAAAGTGCCACATAAATGTCAGTTATTATTGTTACTTTTACCATCCTCACTGATATACAGGGAACTCTGTGGTCTTGGAGGATTCTTGGAGTTGGAGATGAGCTGAATCCTCTGACCCATTTCAGAGAATGCAGATCTGTTTATGGAATTGAAGGCCTATGATTTGAGGTTGAGAGGTCACCTAACCCAGGGTTTCTTAAACTTTTTCCACTCGAGACCCCTAAAACACTTTTTAAAGTGCTAGGTCGCAACCCCATATGGGTCAGAGAAGTGCTAAAACTCATCCCCTGATATCCTGGTTGGACTTTGTTTACTCTTTCCTAAACATATCAGAATCTCGGGTTTGTGGAGGCCTCACCAGTAGATCCTCTCTTCAGGGGGAGAGTGCTCTTGGAATTAGCAACCCTTGGGTCTTCCCCACTGATTCATTTTCTCCCTTGACTTCTTCCTCTTTTTTCCCTGTGGAGGTCTGGGAGGGGCTGAATGTGGTGAAGACAGGTCGAATGATGCTAGGAGAGACCAACCCAGCAGATTCCAAACCAGGAACCATCCGTGGGGACTTCTGTATCCAAGTTGGCAGGTAGGTCTTGGTTCTTGTGGAGCTCATTATCGGAGGGATTTGTACTCCTTCAGCACAACTGCCAGAAGATAGAAATGTGCAGGAGTTGCAGTAATATTAGAAAGAGGCTTCTATCTTTTGTTTTTTCTTTCTTTGGTGAGGCAGTTGGGATTAAGTGACTTGCCCAAGGTCACATAGCTAGTAAGTGTCATATGTCTGAGACTGGATTTGAACTCAAGTCCTCCTGACCGCAAGGCCAGAGCTCTATCCACTGTGCCACCCAGCTGCCCCTGCTTCTATCTTTTAGTAAATCTCACCTTGTGGCTTGGCTCTGGGGCTCTCTATCTTAGGTCAGTCAACCAATATGATTATACACCTGTGGTGCATTTAACCCTGTGGCAGTTGTGCAGAAGATAAAGAGGACTGACCCAATTGTCAGTACCACAGAAAACTCCCCAAACTGTTGTTTGTCAGCTCTGTACCTGTACCGCTGTGGTGGTGATGTTTGAGCCCAGTCTTGTGGAAGGTTGTGATTTAAAAAACAATAGTTGACAGCCTAATTTTATTTTTGACTTTGGATCAGCTTAAATGGCTAGGTAAGTTTTAAATCATCAGAGAAGAGAAGTAGGAATCTGACAATTTTCATATCTTTGAAGGTGGGAGCCACTTGGAGGGAAGGTATGTTTTATGAATGCTTTAAAAAAAAGTCATTTCCCATTGACACCCCCAACACCCTGCCTTTTAACAAAGAAGTACAGCTATACAAAACTAATCGACACATGGGCCATGTCTGAAAAATGCATACTTTATGCCACATCTCTAGTCCACTGCCACTTCCGAGAGAGGAGAGGCCTACTTCACAGCCCGAGCATTTTCTTTTGTGTCTTGCTGGTAGTAGGAATGAAGGGGCTGCAGGAATGAGACTGTGTTTTTTAATCCCTTTTTCATTACTAATATGGCAGACTTTTTTTCTTTGATGTCCTTTCCTTCCCAGGAATATTATTCATGGCAGTGATTCAGTGGAGAGTGCTGAGAAGGAGATCGGCTTGTGGTTTCATCCTGATGAATTGGTTGATTACAAGAGCTGTGCCCAGCGGTGGATCTATGAATGACATGGAGGAGGCATGTGAAGCTTTCTCCATTGCCACAGGCCGGGGACCAGGCTGTGGCTCTGCTTATTTCCAAGGGCTTCCATCTGGACTGTGGAGACTTCTGTGCTAGTCATTAACATTGCTTGCTCAGTGTTCCATCCTTCTGGTCATATTAAAAGATTGTTGGAGCTATTGAGTGTGTCATTCTGTGATACTGAGGGGAAGGGAAGGCAGGACGTTAATGTTTCCAGCTTTCTTTTCTTTTAGTACATTATTGGACTGGTTGAATGAAAGGAATAGTGTAAAGAATTGACAAATCATTGATATTTAGCTTTGATGCAGTGGGGATATACAGTTCTAGAGAGAATAGGGGAAAGGGGGAGGAGGTGAGGGAGACCCAATTTCTATTCTTCTTTTATAGGGTTGCTATGAAGATCATCTAATTATTGGACATAGGGAGGGTATATTGCAGAAGTGATAGATATTCCCAAGAAGCTCTAATTTCCCCTGCCATAGTAGGTAGGTCCTGTCATGCTGAACCCTAAGTACCTATGGCCTTGGTGATGCCAGTTATGACTCACTCAACTCTAAGAACTCCCCAAGAGATAGTTTTCTCTGTCATGGCTACTAAAACACCCTTTCCCAAGCAACTATTCAAGTATAGCTCCACATAAGATCACAGATCTTGAGTTGGAAGGGGTCTTAGAGGTCCCATCTAGCCCAGTGCCTTCTTTTACAGATGAGGAAATGGGTGTCCAAGTAGGTACCTGACACCCTAAGTCACAGAAAGTGGCGTAACTGAGATTCACTCAGGTCCCATGACTTACAGGTTTATCGATCCTCACTGCACCATGATGCTTCCTGGAGCAGGGCAATAGTGAGGTTTGATTATACCAGTTTACTCCCTTACTGGACTTGCGGAGATAGGGAGTGACCTCTGAGGGAGATTTCCCCCTACCCTGTCATTCTGTCTGCAGTAACATTCTGCCTGATTTTAAATATAAAATATATGCTCATATTCTACCTTTAGCTCCTAATTGGCCATACCCTAATGATAAGCTTTTGTCAGTTACTGGTTAGCATTCATGCTTTCTGGCTTGCATAATACTGAAAATTGTGCCAATTATAACTTTTTTGTGCCAACCAGAATCCCTCTGCTTCCCCCTTTGCTCACCGGCTGAGGTGATGAGTCTCTTGTCTTTTCTGTATTTCTCTGTCCCATGTTCTGCTTCCTTGGGTCGTGGAGCCCTCTGGGGCTTCCCAATGATCATCCCATCCGTCTTGCTTTGTTGCATTTAGCTCATCCTCTTGTTCTTGGTAGTTCCTACTGCTGTTTGTTTTCTCCCTTGCAACCTTGGTGTGTTGGCTAGGAAACAAGCTTGGGAGGCAGGAGTGATGACCCCTTCCCATATTGTGCCCATGGCACATTTCAACAAGAGAAGGTACTTTTTGCATAGTAAGGTGCCATGAAAATGCATCATGGTGTTTAATTTACCAGGAAAGTGTTGAGCAATAGAATGCAGCGTCCTCTAGGGCCAAGAGTGGTTTTTTGTTTTGTTTTGTTGCTGTCCCAAGTATATAGAAAGCACTTAAAAAATGCTTCTTGAGTAAATGAATGAGCATGTGCTATGGGGCCTGGTCCCGTGCTGTAACTGAAGGAGCATCAAAGGACCAGAAGAGGCCTGCCCCAATTATCCCTTTTTCAAAAAGTTGGTTTGAGGTACGTTAAGACCTCAGAATAAACTGGTTGGTATTTTCCCTGCTTCTTTGGGCATGGTGATTCTGGGAGGGGATGATAGTAATAATAAAAATGGGTATTTTATAGCACTTTACAGTAATGCAAGGTACTTCATACACATCTCATTTGATTCGTGTAAATCCTGCACGATATCCCTTTGAGGTATAAAGGGTAGATTGAAGGGTGAGGGGTAGGTGAGGAGAAAAAAATAGAGACAGCTTTCAGGAGGATATAGTACAGGGTTCAGTAAATTTGGGTTTGAAAGACGGTGTGGAACAAGGATAAAGGGACAAGAGAAAGATTTTGTGCTGTGGGGCCTAAGAATAGTTTAGACTCGAGATCACTGAACTGTGGGACTCATCATGGGAAGGAGCAGTTGAGGGCTAATGCTGGGCAAGCAGAGTTGATTTTTCTTAAAAAAAAATCTTATTTTTAATGATGACTGGCATCACATTTATCTCCAAAGACAGCCCTCTTCCTCCCCTCAATGGTGAGCCATGTCTTGTAACAACAATTCAGAAAGTGAGAAACAAAGCAATTAAAATAAAACTTTTACAGCACATACAGTATTCCATACCTATAGTCCCCTACCTCTGCAATGAATCTCAACTCTCCTCTAGTGTCAAGCTTAGTATAATTGCATAGTGTTTGGAGTTGTTTTGAGTTTTATTTACTTTATCATAGTAATTATGTACATGTGTTGTATATAACAATATAATGTAAATACAATTTCTACAACATAAATATAACGTTCTATAAATAAAATCTATATACATGATTACATCAATGTAAATAGAACACTCCTCACTGTGTAACAGTATGTATACGTACATATATGTGTCTATATACATATATATTTCTTGTTTTGCTAACTTCATTCTGCATCGTTTATTTTCCTGTCTTTCTGTAGATTATTTGTCATTTTTTAATTGCTTGTCAATCATCCAGTACATTCCTGTGCCCCAATTTGTTTAATCATTCCTCTCCCACCTGAAGAAGCAGACTCCTACTTATACACAGAATAATCTGTATTTCAAATAACTGAGTCAGTCAGTAAACATTAAGTGCCTATAGTGTGCCAGGCACTGTGCTAAGTAAGCACTGGGGATACAAAGAAAGGTAAAAGATAGCCATTGCTCTTGAGAAGTCCAGGTTTTACTCCTGTAGGTAGGTATACCTGCTCCAAGGTGCCTGGCAATAGGTATATTGGAGTGGAAGAGAGAATTGTGAAGTAGCTCTCTCCATAGGTACTAGGCCTTGCTTCTGAAGTTGACTCAGGACTAGAAAAATTACAGGTGAAACTCCCTTCTTGACCCCTAGGAAAGCCATTGGGTCTCCTTCAGTGACCCTGTGGTCTCTGGGAGATTGGCTCAGATCTCCAGGAACTGGAAACTGACAAAAAATGTCCCTGGGATGGGAAAAGGGCCCATCTGTGGTTAGAGGCAAAAGAGACCTCACGAGTTTTAGCTCAACCCTCATTTTGCAGAGATGGAAAATTACTCAGTAGTCCCACTTTCTCACCACAGTCAGCTCCCCTTCTTTCTGGCAGGTTGGAATGGTGTGGTGTGGTGAAAAATGACCTGGGGTATATCCCTGCCTCTGTCCCAGCTGTGTGTTTTTGGGAAAGCCATTTCTCTATTCATGGACTTAGTCCCATCTATGAAATGAAGGAACTTTAACTAGATCTCTGAAATTCCTTCCCACTCCATCTACCAGGTCAATATTCAGCCAATCAATCCACAGGCATTCAATATCATGTACGGGCTCTGCGCCAACATCTGGGAATCCAACTGCTGGAAATTCAAAAGGATAGGAACTGAATTTAAGAGCTCATTGGTGGAGGGAGCTCCTAGGCAAGGAAACTGGTGATCACATCAGCCCCCGTGGATTTAGTCACCACCTATATGCTGATGATTTTCAGATCTATCTTTCCTAATCCAACCTCTCTGCTGACCTCTGTTCTTACATCTCCCGTTGCTTTTCAGACATCTGGAACTGGATGTCCAGTAGACATCTTAAATTCAATGTACCCCAAACTGAACTCATTACCTTTCTCCTAACCTTTTTCCCCTCCTACCTTTTCTGTTATTGTCAAGGGCAACATCATCCTCCCAGTCCCCCAGGCTCACAACCTAAGAGACATTCTCAGACTTTTCTATTACTTAATCCTAATATCCAAGTTGTTGCCAAGGCCTATTGATTTAATCTCTGCAATGTCTCTCGAATATGCCCTCTCCTCTCCTCTGACACTGCCATCACTCTGGTTCAGGCCTTCATCACCTCATGCCTGGACACTGCTAGTAAAAATGTCTGAGGTTGAATTAGAACTTAGGTCTTTCTGACTCTAGGCCAGCATTGTATCCACTGAGCGATCTAGATTTCTACTTTTACACTCCTCTTATACCTTAGGCCCCAACATTTACTCTTTGATGCTGTGACACCTTTTTTTTTTTAAACGCAATTGGGGTTAAGTGACTCGCCCAGGGTCACACAGCTAGGGTCAAGTGTTTGCTCTGAAGCCAAATTTGAACTCAAGTGCTCTTGACTTCAGGGGCGGTGCTCTATCAACTATTCCACCTAGCTGCCCCGGCAGTGATACCTTTCTGTTCCATGAACTCTCCTCCTCACTCCTCCTCCCCTTTCCTTGCCCCTCCCTCTCCTCTCCCATCTTCTGCCTCCTCCTCTTCCTCCTCCCCTTTCTTTGCCCCTCCCCTCTCCTCTCTTCTTCCCTCCTCTTCCCCTTTCCTTGCCCCTCCCTCTCTTCTCCCAGCCTCTCCCGCTCCTCCTCCTGCTCTCTTCTCCCCTCTGCTCCCTCTCCCTTCTCTCTCCCCTTCACTTATCCTCTCTTCTCCTCTCCCATCCTCTCTCATCCTCTCTCATCCCCTCCCCCCTCCTCCCCCTGCTCTCTTCTTCCCTCCTCTTCTCCTTTCCTTGCCCCTCCCTTTCTTCTTCCATCTTCTTCCCCCTCCCCCCTTGCTCTCGTCTTCCCTCTGCACCCCCCTTCCTTCTCTCCCCCTTCATTTATCCCCTCCCCCTCTCCTCTCCCTCCCTTGCCTGGCCTCCTCCCCGGCCCCGCCCCTTGCACAGGCCCCGCCCCCTACCGATGGGGGCGGGCTCTGGGCTCCGGTCTCGAGCCTCTCTGCTCTGGGCTTCAGTGTGAGGTGCAGTCACAGCCGCCCGTTTCTCCTGCTCCAGCCTGAGCAGCTTTCCCGGTGAGAACGGCTGGGCCCCTGCTCCCCTCTGGCTGCCGTCCCCGCGGCTACGCCCCAGCAGGCGCTCCCTTCTGCCTTCGTCTCCCCCGGTTGGGGCCCGGCCGGGCCAGCGCCGGCTGGAACCGAGGAGGAGGAAGGGGAGGAATCCCAGCCGAGCGGAAGGTGCTCCTCAGCTCCGGCAGAGCCACGTGGAGCCCGGCGGGGCGCCGGGGGAGGGGCACACTGGGATGGGGGAGGGGGAAG